TAAAAGTTCCCTCTATCTACGCAGCAGGTCAACGTTTATGCAATCTTTTATTTCATATATATTGCTTAAACATATCGATGTGGAATATTTAAAGATGAAAATATTCCACAGAATGCTCACTGTCAATCACCTTGAATACTTTAGCAAATGTGTAAGGTTACCGTAATCTCAGTTGGCCTTCCTTGTTTTAGTCAAACAACTGGGGAACATCATGAAATATGAATAAAAAATCGGCCACCTACACAGCTGTCAATGCAACGCTCGTCTCTGAAATCAGAATAAAACGTGTATCCAGATAAAAATTTATTCTAAATAGGTTGTAAACAAGTGACGAATAGGTAATTCAAAATAAAGGTTATATGTTTCCTGTGCTTTCAATCGGGGTTCTTAAGGGGGACTGAGTTGTTCATACAGCATATGGTAGTGGACGGCGTGTTCCGTGGGGAATACGGACCTAACGGTGATGGATATTATACCAGGGTTAAGGCAGGTAAGAGTAACTGCAATGAAGAAGCCTGGCGTCCTGCCATGCTCTCCCTGCCTCAGTTACTGCCAGGCGCTCGAATGGATCACGCGCGCCCCGTTGCTGCGCAAGTTGGAAGGGGTCATGTGAGCTGGTGTTAGAGTTACCGAGTTGTAAAGGTGGCGCTCTTCTCTGGAATTGTGTTGGATCCGATGATGAACGGGGAAAGGTTAGTTCCATGAATCTTTTTTCTTTATTCAATCTTGCATATGATGGACGTTATGGGTTTCTTCCAAGCACGAGCAGCAACGGAAGTCAAGTAGGAATGTCGCTCTCCGGACCCAACGCCATTGTTATTCAGCTTTCTCCGTGTCGGCAGAGGGTACCGTTCCACAGACCCGTATGATATGAATCCACATCATCAATATTCTCTCTAAACATGCGCCCGGACATTTGTGAAACCTATTTACATCTTATACCTCTGTTACTCATCGCGCCCAGTTCCGCCTCGGCCCCAAGTACTCGACGTGGCATTGACCTCCATTGCCCTCGGTGCCCTGATTCAAGCCTCATTTTCCCGCCAACTCTTTCAAACGTTAAGATATAAAACCCTTTCTAAATAGCGACGTGGTGATGAAAGAGAATCATGATAATGGAAATGAAAATGGAGAAGAGTGTATACGTTGAGGAAATAAGCTGAGACATACCGTTACTGGATCCTCTGTGTCAACAAAGGTTTTCTGAACTCCGGGGTCGGCGGAGCGGAGAGGTATTGCCTTATGCAGACAGGTTTACGGCATTGGCTGCGGCGCATCATCTTTATATCATCATCATCACCACCACAAACACCATCATCATAATAATAATCCTATCACCACTGCCACCATCATCTTCATCATCATCATCGCCATCACCACTATCATAATCATAGCACTATCATCATCATCATTATGACCACCATCATCATAATCACATCATTCTCACCACAGTCACCGTTATTATCTCAGGGAAAAATAACGAATTGCACAAAAATGAAAATAAAAAACGTCACGGAGAAAGCAAGAGAAAGTAAATGAACTAAAAATTGCTCCAAAAGAAAGCAGGTTAAGCGGCCAAGGGTACGACTGTTGACCAGAAATCGATGCAAACTGACGAGAGGGAGCTTTCTGTTATCAATTTTTCCTTTGATTTTATCTTTATTCTCTTTTAATCTTTACCCTTTAACAACCACAATACGCTGAAGTTGCAAGTTGAAAAATGTTATGACTTGCTCTTCGATATGCTTTGAGACCATTGCAATATGGCTTCGTCTTACTTTCACTCAATAAACATTTAATATAAATCTGTGAAAGTCCAGTGACTGCGCGGACAAGGAAATCAATGTTGCGGGAGCGAATGCGAGATAGACACTTAGCCACACTTTTTCCAAGACTGAATGGCCGGTTTCGAAAATCATCGTGAAAGTTCGCCACTGTGTAAGTTTCTTCAATCCAAGATCATATAAGCTATTAAATGTTATCAGATCGCTCACAAGTCACAGGAATTTGTAGTGAAAGAGAAAACGGAGATTTTTTTTAATAGAAAACGGAAAGGACTTACTACGATTTTACTGTTCTATGGGGAATCTATTTTTTTCCCATGAGACATCAGGGTTTAGGTCTTCCTTACTTCTGTGGCTTTGTCTCATCTCATATTTGTATAGATATTACTGTGCTTTTATTTACAGGAATATGCCACAGTTGGACCAGATAACAAGGTATGAAGGTTTAAGAATATGGATTAAGTTTAAGAAAATGATATGAAACTAGAATACCTTATATTATGGGATATTATTATCGCCAGCTAAGATTAAATTAACCAAATGACCGTTTCTTTTCGAACACCCGAATTTGGAAGACATCGTTCATTTTGATTTTCACTGTTGAACAATCTTTTTTCACATTATTTAATGGAGAGCGTAAAAATGAATTTCATGAAAAACGATCATGAATTTTGGAATTTTTACCTCCAAAAATTCTAATTTTGTTGACAGTTTGTTTTACAAAAAAGAACAAATAGGTAAATGAATGAAAAATAAATAACAAAAGACAATAAAAAAGAATGCTTTAGTTCATATGTAACGACATGAAAACGTCAAAGTTGGTCCCATACCCGTGTAGGCGTAGGGACAGGCAAGGTCTATATAAGTACATAAGTAACAGGTTCGTCGAGAAACATGCTAACTGAGCCGCGGGATGATGCGGCAGGGATGGCCAGTTCCCTTCCACCTAGACTTTGATCCCAGCATGATGACGCCAGCATACCAGCAGCGCTCACTCCCAGCTGTCGACTGCATTTTCACACTGAGCATATAGTCATGCAAATAAAAAAATCGCTTTTTAACAATTCATTCACTGCACGTTAGATTAGAACTTACATCCGCGTTGAAATCTCCAATACACAAATGGTGGCGGGTCTTTTTTTGTTCGATTTTCGGGTCAAAGATATCTTTATCTTTTGTTCTTAACTCACATGGAATAATTGGCAATAAATGATACGATTTCTATACTTAATAGACACTAGTATCTGAAGTTCTACTTGTTTTCGTTAACAAGTATGGGTATTTACACACCTGTCGTAAGGTGAATATATCTGCAACGGCAGGATTACAACTAGTAGGCTTATCTTCCATATATAATTAAGTACAAACTTGAACCGCATTCCATATCCATGAGACAAACGTTTGTAGTAAAAGAAAAAGTAAAATATGAGGCTACAACAAAACCTTTGCTTCATCTTTATAACTTTTCATTTACGTAATGTTAAAATATGAGAAGCATTTTTTTTACGGCAAAGGTTTATAAATGTGCTGGCTTTTGAAGGAAATTGCAGGGTAGACAGCCAGGCCAGAGCAACATCTGAATTCGTTACGTTTCGCTATATTTCAGAGCATCAGTATTTTGCGATCGAGATAAACTAACGGTTTAATAAACACGTTACGTAACCTTATTACTCATAAAACGCTACGCCGGTTCTTTTGCAGGTTGCTACAGCTCAACCTCAGCTATCAGGTTTACGTATTTCAAGAGAATTAAGAGTCTGAAAAAGCCAAAACTAAGAGGCAGTGTCTTCCTGTCTTGAATTCTTGCGAGGAGAACAGGAAAGGGCGGACGGTGACCTGCAGTCCTGTATGAGCAACTCTCCATGTGCCTATCCTCTCCACTCCCCCCCCCTCCTTTTTTTGTCCATTTCTACCTTATCCACCTCTCTCCTCTCGATTCTCCTCTTTCTCGCTCTCTGTACCCCGCCTTCTCCCTCTCCTCTCGTTCATAACCTCACCTTTCTTTTTTTTTTCTCTCTCTCTGTTCTGTCTGTCTGTCTAGCTCTCTCCTCTCTCTCTCTCTCTCTGCCTCTGTCTGTCTAGCTCTCTCCTCTCTATCTGTCTGGCTCTCTCCTCTCTCTCTTTCTGTCTATCTCTCTTTCTGTCTCTTTCTCTCTCTCTCTCTCTCCTCCCCCTCTCTCTCTTTCCTTATTACCTATAATATTAAATCTCTCTACTTCTCTGCCTGTCTGTCTGTTTTTCTCTTTCCTCCTCACTCCCTCTCTCTCACTCTCCCTATCGAGTTATCTTAACCTACCCAATAACCCCCTCCTCTCGCTCTCTCGTTTTTTTATTTTTTCTCTCTAAATATATCTATCTATCTCTCTCTCTCTCTCCCAATCTATCTATCTGTACATGTATCTCATTGTTCCTCTCCTCATTCCTCACTCCCTCTTTGTCCACCTCTCCCCCCACACTCTCTCATTCTCTCTCTCTTTTCCCCTCCTCCCCTCTTCCCTGGTCCACCCACTCTCTCTCACCCCTCTTCTTTTCGTCAACTTTACCGTTTTACATATAAAACATTCAGCCACGATTTCGAGACGTTTTGCGAAGCATATGGTTTATACCGACGCAAGTGTCCCATTTTACGAGCTCAAAGTACGCGAAAAAGTTGAAACGGTACAACTGAATCGGTCCTTTCAAGTCGGTGAGCGGGGCATTTAATAGTCGTGATTGTGAAGCGGAAGTACGGAGAAGCGTATAATTAGCAAGAGTCTTTTGAGGTACACTGACGCAGTGGGAACGAGAGAGGGAGAGGAGAGGAGAGAGGAGAGGAGAGGGAGAGGAGAGGGAGAGGGAGAGAGAGAGAGAGAGAGAGAGAGAGAGAAAGAAGAGAGAAGAGAGAAGAGAGGAGACACGTAACTAGAGAGACAGTGTGAGAAGGGGAGAGTATGTTTGCATGGTCACCGTAGCAGAACCTAACAAAGCGGATTAGAATCATTCTAATCTTCACTGATACTTGCTAACTAATAACCCCAACAAACCAATATAATAATAATATTAATCAGTGATAAGTACAGGCCTTACTAAGCAGATGAATGCGATGTTTTTGCTCTTGATCATCTTGTTGAATACATTACATACAATACGTTCGCCTTTGTGTTTATATTTGTGTGATTGTGTGCGAGATTGTGTGCGTGTGTTTGTTTGTGTGTGTGACTGCTCTCGTCTGTGTGT